GTTTCCTCCAGTTTCTTTCTTTTTTTTTTTTTAAATAAATTCACAGGGCTCTTTTGCAAAGCGCTGGGAACAGATTGCACCGGACGGAACGCTTCGGCACGCGCTCCCCCACCAGTCAGGGAGAGATCAGCCCAACTGCAAAAGGCTGCTAAATCTTTATTTACGGAAATTCGCCCCGGTCCTGGGCAGCCTACAGCACGCCAGGCCGGCCAAGGGTCCGACACCCCAGGCGGGGGCAGCCCAAGGGAATATGCCTCCATCCCGCACGCCCCGGCCGGGGACGAGCCCCCGTCGTAGCATATTGTTTAAGTCGCCATCGGAATTAAAAAACAACCCAACGTTTCTCAGCCAAACCCCCCAAACCGGGTAACGCAAAGCAAAGCTGACTGTTCTATTAACTCCCATCCTGCATCAGCAATTTTCCAAAGTGCGGAAACATTATAATTGACTTTTCTGCTAGTAGCAAAATGTCATTTTTTTCTTAATACTTCCTAAGTCACTAATGCATTTCAAAAGCCTCCAATGCCGCTACCACAACAGGACTTACAAATTAGCACATTTTTTAGCTTTTCATTAAACACAATACCAAAAAGAAAGTCTCGTCATATTAAGGTTTCTCTCCTCATTATTGAAAGTACCGCGACTTTGGAACTTCACGCGGCAAATTATAATGCGCTCAGCCTGGGTCCATTGTAAATCAGGGCTTCAAAAAGGGTGTCACGTAGTCGGGCCCTCTTTAAGCACTGAAAATATTGGAGTCTATTTGAAAACGCCTTATGTAGCCTCTCACTCGCCTTGCAAATCATCACAGCACCGGGTAGAGCTTCCTTTTTATTTTTTGCCTCGTGGCATCAAGCCGTTTCTATTCCGACCAGAAAAAGAGGATTGGTTCTTGCTGGGATTTAAGGGGAAAAAAAAAAACAAAACCAAAAAAAACACCCCTACACCTAAGATAACAAGCTGCACAAAACCCCCAAATTGTTGGGGGCTCTCGCTCAGCTTTGCACGGCCTCCATGGGGCTGTCCCTCTCCAAAGAGGAGGGGGATTCTCCACCCGGACCCCCGGCTCGCTGCCCTAGGGTGTCCCCGGCCAACGACACTTTTCGGAGGCCGCCGCGGCC